CAAATTTCAAGTATGGATTTTAATTTTTGTCAATTGTTAGATTCCCAAGCAACCTCTGCAATGCCATTCCATTTTTATCCACCCCCTCCTATTGAGTGGGGGGTAACTGTGTCGGCACCTCTGATCTTTTAATACATTCTGAGGAGGGAAATGTGTTGGCACTTTGATCCTCCTTTCTTAGGGGGTCAAAAGTTAACTTTTCTGACGGGGTGAAATTGAAAGCTCCTCAATAGGGATGCGGATATTAAAATGGAATGGCCCGATGCTGAGCCTCTTTAGCACATTGTCTAACAATCATCGATTATTTTTGTGCATGAGAAAGTGGGACAATTTTTACTGGAAATTTCTTGCAAGTCTGCGATATGCCTTAAAATATACATATTTGTACACAACTGTTTGTTAAGACTTCTGTACTGTTAATTTCTTTTCAGGAGCTGTTTAACTGCAGACGGGTTCTTATCATTGGAAGTGGAGTTATTGGTCTGACGACTGCTTATCTACTACTTGAAAGAGGGTCTGTCAGGAGAACAACAGTGATATGACTGTATTAGTATAGGTAATCATATGGTTTCGAGTTCAATTTGGAATTAATTGCACGAGTGAGTTTTTTAAAATGCTGAAATTGCATGAGCTGCTTTGGTGAGTTCAATTTCAGCTCTTTGAAAAACTCACAAGTTCAAATTAATTCCAAATGAACAAGAAAAACTGTATGATTACTTACAAATGTTATAAACATGAAAAAATTTGTGTGGAGAAAGTGCCAGAAGATCTTTCAGGAAGCTATTTTTTCTCAATTTCCAGAAAATTTTTTTCAAAGTTTCCGCACAAAATTTTCGTCATCATTTTATATGATATCACTGGCTTAGAAAATTTCTTATTGTCTTTCAGCCAATCATAATCCAGAATTACGATGTGTAATTTGCACCAGTGTTACACTTTCTGCCCTGGTGTTACACTTGAACTGCACTGCTCTCAGCCAATCAGAATCGAGTAATTTTTTCATGTTTATTATTATGATAGTAATTATTAAATTTGTGATTTTAAAATCTAGTTGAGAAATTGTGCTGGTTAATTATCTAGTATGAAATTCACATTCAATAGATATCTGATGCTTACATCTCTGCTGCTCAGCTCACTTTACTTTGTACAATGTGTCTGTTTAAATATATTTTGAAAAAAATTTGTAGATATAAGCTTTTCCTGCTTTGGGCTTCAAACTGAAGTCAAGTAGTTTGAACAATAATTATTTGATATAAGAAGCTTGTGTGTCCACCTTTCCTGTGCATTCAACTGGATTTTAATTTTGCTATCTGAACTTTTGCTACAGCTATGGTGTAACAATAATAGCGAAAGATTTTCCTTCAACCCGCCATTTACCAAAGATCTCCTCAGAAGCCTCAGGGGCATTATGGGTTCCTCCTGAAAGGATGGTAGAGCTTGTAAAGAAGTCATCAATTGTTGTAAATCAAGCAGGGGAAACAGCACTGGATCAAACACTGAAGGTTTTGTGTTCTTGAGTCATTAAGGATCACATGATCTCCATATAACTGTGTATCACTCTGCTGTATGCTTATGGTTTGGCACTGGGGAGATTATTAATTTCCTGGCTGAAAATGACATTATCGTTCTAGTCCCTCCACACTTCCTTGAGGTCATTGTCGTCTCTTTTATTTACTTGGGGAAGATCAGTGAATTGCCCTTAATGCACTCGCACTAGATAGCTTGAGGCTTAATTTACCACTCAGGCAGGTCCCCAAACAAGACAGCCTGCTTCCAGGGTAATAAGACCTGCAAACTACTTAACAGCTTCAGCTTCACCATGTCTCTCTCTGTGATAGATAGTCTTTCTTGAATTAAAGGCAACGCTGAATGGATTTCAAACATCCTTGAAGGATTAAGATAAATATAAAAGAGGCAAAGCATTAATTAATTGAAAGCAGGTTTATGACTAATTGGTTGGTTAATTAGTTTGTAGCATTACAAGAACCATTTATTTAAACATGATAAAAACTGTTTTGCTGTAGCATACCCTGTTCTCAAAAGCAAAATTCTTAGTTTAAAGGAATAAAGTGTATTTGTTCCATAGGGTAAACCAAGCATTGGTTTATTTGTAACTTTGTATTGTCATCTGCAGGCATGGTCTGCCTATGGAGAAGAGAGGTACATTCCTCTTTGCAAAGATTCAAGAAACACTGGAGTGTACCTGAGAGAAGTCGTAACACTTTTTAAAGAAAAGGTGACTGCTGCATATTTAATTTGTTAACCAAAAAAAAGAATGCTACAGTATTCTGGTTTATATAGCTCAAAACTTTGAGATCTAGACAGTCAGACATTTTTGAATTTAGATTATTTTGTCATTAAGGATTTAGTTATGCATAAACAAGCAAAAACTAATGATAAAAACCAACATTTTGGTGTCTTCATTCCATTCCATATTGTTTTTTTTTTTTTCACTACCTTGACAGTGGCATCATGAAGACACCGAAATGTCGGTTTTTATTGTTAGTTTTTACTTGATTAAATTATTCAATTTTTCTGAGTGATTAATCTTTCATTGGGTTCAGGCATTAGAGTACCCCTTCAAATTTTTAAAAGAAATCTCAAAACGTGTTGCAATCCCAATCGTTATCCAAATGTTAACCATGCTCACCATCTGTTAGTATTGACTGTTCTATGCAATTTTGAAAACCCACATTTTTTTCACCAGATAGACCAAGCTTGTCTGGAGGGTTACAAGCAGATAAGAGGATTTCAACATTCATTTTCGGTTGTAAAGGACAAAGGTGTGCGTGCAACCATTCTACTCTTAGGAATGTTATGGATCATGTCTAAATGACCATTCACCTACATTTAAAAGTTCCATGGAGTACCCAAGGAGAAAAGTGACAAGGAGGGGTGACTGTAGTTGTGGGTTAACACTGATCAGTCTGTGTTTTTATAGGGACCATTGTGATAGATTTGCTACCCACCCTTCCTTGGATTGACCGAGCAATAGCGAGGTCAATATGGCAAGGCTAGGGTTTGAGATTGTTCTATAAAGACCGAACATTCAGGGGTAATAAGTTATTTATTATATGGCTTTTTGCTTTGTTTTTGCTAGCCTGTAATCAGCCTGTGGGCATTATGGGAGAATAATGCCCTACAATTAGCCAATCAGAGCATGTGTTATATTGGCTACAAGAACAAACCAATAATAAATAAATTTAACAGAATAGACCAATTTTGATGTATCAAAATTCAGCCTAACACAATAGACCTCAGCACGAGGCTCTAGGGAATAAACCCCACAAACTCTGTAGTTATTCCCCAGAGCCTCATGCTGAGGTCTATTGTTTTACGCAGAATTTTGATACATCAAAATTGGTCTATTCTGTTATAAAAAGGGCCAGTGAAAACTGAGTGCAAGATGATCAGAGAATCTTAGAGAGAAACACAGAAGTTGTGCATGTACAAGAACATGTTCACAGAGGTATCAAGAAAGAAAATGAAAAAGAATAGTAAGAGAGACTTATATTGGGAAATGCAAGTTTTGAGTCCACGTTTAGAGAAGCATAGTTATTACAAAGAAATGAAAGCTGTAAGTGTATTGTAAGAGAAGGAACAAGTTATAATGTAGAAACTATTAACCAAACCCTAAATTAACATAACTGATCGACAAAATAGCGGGACAGCTAGTTCAGCTAACATTGTTTAGCTACTTGTTTACAGTGTTTTACAGTACAATCTGTTAATACAGTGTTTTGTTAATTATTTCATACTTTATTGATGAAGCTGTGTCATTGTTTGTTATATCTATATGTACTGCTACAGGTGTGAGTGATTTAAATGGACAACTAAAAGACGCCTTTTCTTTTGTTGGCCCAGTCATTGATCCACAGCAATTTGGGACATGGCTTATTCAGGAAGTATGAATTGTTATATTGTTCAAGTTTCCCTCCCTCCAATATAATCTCTTATTAAAATCCTATTAAATGTTGAGTAGTGCTGTAGTATATATCATGCTGCACTTGTAAATCAGAACCTTATAAATTAGAGAGCATTAAGTAACTTAAGTATAGTTTATTGTCCTTGTCATTTTTAATTTTTAATATTTCAATCTTCTAAATAATTTAACATTTATCTCTGATAACAATTACAGGTTGATATCATTCAGCATTTCTTTTCGTTTATTAAATGATAAAAAAGTATTTCTTTATGGACTGTTCTTATGTGATAATTTGAATCGGTCTTTTCCTGTTTACATGAGGACAACATGGTTTGGCTTGTGCCCTTACACAGCTGATTAGATCAACTGCAACTTTGTTTCTAGATAACATTGGCTATTTTTGGTGGATATTTAGATCAACTTACTGAAACTTTGTTTTAACATAAGCTAAATGTATTTTTGGCTTTGCAGTTTTATAGACCTTGCTCTCAACATGAGTCATACACATGTGAAAAAAAGAACCTCCCCAATATTAAATGGTGGTCACTACTTTTAATTAATAACTTAATTAATTAACCTGGCCATTATTTTTGATGGCAGTGTACAAGAAAAGGTGCCCAATTTATACAAGGTGCCATTAGAGGATTACTTACAGAACAAGCACATGCCCTTAAGATGACATATGGTGTTCAGTTTATTGTCAACTGTTCAGGGTTGGGATCCATAGAGATAGCTGGAGATAGAGGAATGTACCCTGTAAGAGGTTGGTGATATGTTTTCATTTTACTCAGGGACAATAGATTACTCAGCTGCAAACAACCTGTTCAAGACACTCATAAGTGGATAATTTAACATGTGAGCTGTTCTAAATAGATAAATAGAGTTTTGATCATGTTAATTTGAACTTGTCAGCTATTTCTAAATCCCTCTTATTTCAAACTCACATCCATTTAGCTTGGATTTGCCCTTATTTTTTGAACAAGATAATTTCAAACTACCCACTATTACTAACTAATTTACATTTCCTGTGACCTAAAATTTATTTTACTCTTCAATGGTAGAGGTTAAAAGACCATGTCAGTCATTAGCTGGAACTCTACAGTTTGTTAACTCTATGTCTTATCTCTTATTGTGACTCTTCTCTTCAAGGAAAAAATTTAAGGCATCCCTTGAGTAATAAAAGTGTGCTGCCTTTAATAAAGGTCAAAGTTTTTACTTCACATTACTTCAGATAAAGGTTACTCATCATTCCTTCATCATTCTGTATGATTTATTATCAGTTATTTTCATATTATATATACCCCTGAATTCTTGGTTCAAATAGTTTGCCATAAAATACAGTTCAAACCCTAATAAAGGACCACCCTCAGGGAAATGGATAGTGGCCACTTAAAAGGGGTTGGCTGCTTAATAGAAGTAAAAACAACAGAAAAGCCCTCATTAGGACGTTGATTACTGGCCGCCTAATAGGAGTGGCCATTTAATGGCTTTAACAGGTAACTGCTTAACAGGGGTTGGACTCTGTACCTAAATGATTGGTATTCTTTTTGATCCTGTTGATAGGTTCTCTCTTGATGGTAAAAAATGATGGCAGTCTGTTTCCCAAGATTGACTTTTGTGTTGCTACAGATCATACCAGCTTTGGCCTTGATGAGGCAGGGCAGGAGATTCATGGTGCAGCATATATTTTACCAAGAGGTATACTTAAGTTTCTGCTTTTATACAAACATGAATGCTCATTTATGAAGTCTCTTTTTATTATAACTACCACAATGAGTTGATTTAGTGTATGAGGCAAGAATTTACTTTTGGCAGCTCAAGGGAGGGTGCTTACTGGAGAAGAGTTGCTTATTAGGGATGGGGAGCATATTTTGTTTTCAACATATAATCTGAATGCTATGCAATACTTTACTGAGAATCATCATCTCAGTGACTGTAGCAATGTGGCCTCTGATAGTCATGATGTTCAACATCACATTACGTTCACATGAGAATGTAGACTTCATAATTCATTTGCATAATCAGTCTTCTTATGACAATGTCTTGAATGTCACTTTCCCTTTGGGGAGCGCGAATGGGAATTAAGGGTTAGGTAAAAGTCTGCATACGAGCCAAGTGGCCCATCAGGCCGGAGCTTATCCCAGTTTGGTAACATGAAGTGACTAGAAATATTTCTACCNCCCCCCCAGATGGGATGCTAGGCCATTGCAGGGTTACCCCCCAGCATTAAATTCGCTGGGACCCAGTTTTATACCTGGGTGGAGAGAGGCACTGAGAGAGTAAAGTGTCTTGCCCAAGAACACAACACAATGTTCCCACCAGGGCTCAAACCCGGACTGACGAGTGCACTAACCATGAGGCCACTGTGCATCCACATGGGAATTATGGGGGAGTGAATATTACAAAGGTGACGCTTATTGGAAGGAGAGCACTAAACTGAATCATTATGGTAAATTCACTAACAGAGTCTAGGGTCAGAGTGAAAACTTCTGCCCATGAGTCCTAAACATTTTTGTTCTCCTGACTTGGTGTATCCAGTTCAGTGCGACTACTTGAACCGAGCCACCTAAAAGAAAACTAGCCAATCAAAACGTAAACTGAGAACAATGGACTGGTAGCTTCTCGTGACAGTAAGTAACAGCCTGTTTGACGTGAAAACATAAACTCTATCATCTCCTCTGCATTACATACACTCTTAGAGATTGAGCCCTTGACAGTGAATTATCATAACTACAAATTTTGCTCAAAATATTTGGCTTGAAAGCTCATTTTGCGGCGGCTAAACCGAAACCGTTGTAAAGCGTAAAAAATTTAGGATTGAAACTAACCAATCAACAAATGGCAAAGTCAGCAACACTTCGCACTTTGTTGGGTTTTCAATTTTGTTAAGATCTATTGTTCATATTCTTTAATGTCATTGGTTTATTTGAGAAAAAGATCGCTATCCTTTGTTCTCAAGTTACATTCTGATTGGTTAACTCCTTTCCAAGTGGCCTGGTTTGAGTAGTCGCACTGTAAGGAGAAAAGTAGAAAGGTTGCTTCTTGCCCATGAGGGTGGGAGAAAAGGGATACAAGAGTGAGGTGCAGAATGTAAGAGGAGATATGTTGATAGCTGAAAGGCTCAGGGGAGGTGAGGGTCGGAAGATTGAATATTTTAAGGCAGAAAAAAAATGAGTCTCTTCCCTGCATGGTGCAGGGCTGGCAGAGCCTAGGGGGACTGGGGGTGGGGGCTTTAGTCCCCCCCCACAATTTCAAGTGAAAAATACATAAATTATAATTTTACAAATACCTCTAGACCCCCTTCAAGTTAGCACCTCTGGCACTCACTTGTAAACCTCCCCCCGCCCCACGAATTCAAAATACGCTCCGCCATCCCTGTGACAGAGTGTTTTATTTCAGCATTGTTCAGAAATATGTTTGCAACTTCTTTCTTTTTTTGTTGCTGACTTACTGTTTCATGTCCACAGGTGCAGATAGATTAATGCTTGGTTCATTTTATCAGCCAAACCGATGGGATCACGATTTATCTATTTCTGCTCCGTATGTACAATCTATGCTGAGACGATGTAAGGAACTCTGTCCGCGCCTCAATGTACTAAAAGACAGTGATATTCAGGTCACGGTTGGCATTCGCCCTGCAAGGAAGCATAAATTTCGACTAGAACAAGACCCTTATAAGCCATGTATTTTTCATAACTATGGTCATCACAGGTGGGGAATGACGTTATGCTGGGGCTCAGCAAGAGATCTTGTTAATCTCATTGATAATACTGCGACCACGATTGCCTGTTCTAAAGCCCAGCATTTGGCAAAACTATAACTGCACATACGATTTAATATCAGACAGATTATGTAGACATGTATTTTTTATGAACTCTTGTGTGTGGTACCAATCTAGCAGAAAATTGTGTACTACTCGCTACTAAGGTAACAAAAACAAAGTCGAGTGGACTATTCAATAAATTATACTCCCAATCTCGAAACGGGCAAAATGACGTCCATTTGAAGTTTTTTTTGTCTACTTCTTCTTTACCTTGCTCGTTCTCTTCTTTTTTTTTTTTTTCGTCAGGGCGGTTTTCAATAAAACGTTCACGTGTGCTGCATATGAGCTTTCTCCATTTAGGCCAGTTGTCTACAACTTTTTCCCAGTGGCTTCATTCAGTGAGAGAACAATCTACCATAAAAAATACATGGTTGTACTATTCCTGGAGGTAACAACCTACAGCAAAACCAAAGAGTGCACTACTCAGTAACATATCTATGAAATACCGTCAAAACTATAGTTATTAGTTTACTATTCAGTGAGGTAACACTTTTAGCAGGCATTCCTGTCCGAATTCTGGTCCTGCGCAAATCTTCCGTAGGAAATATGATGGCGAATGGTACATTTACCCAATAATTCTCAATGTTCATAAAAATTTACAGGAACGTTCTAACATCTTCAAACCTAGCGTACACTATGTCGTTAGCACAGGGACAAATATTGCAAACCTTTGGCTTTCCTTGCGAAAAGGTTCGCATGGTATTGTGGTAAACCGCCTTTTTTCATACCAGGCATTCATCAAAGTGAGGCCCGCTTTGGATATTTCTGCTTTGTTCGCTGTTACCGTAAATCCTCGAATTAGCTCCTCCCCTCAAATAAGTGCCCCCTTCGAACAGGCGCCCCTTAACCAGCCTCGTACAGCAGGCCTAGACCAGCTAAAGGGATTATATTAAGTAGTTCGTCAAGAGAGCCAGAATTTACACACTTGAAGCTTTCAAACGCTATATATACTGCGCGTGAAACACATGCGTAGACAGGCGAGGGTAGACGAAAATACGAAAAACCCCAAAAGCTTCCAAAGACCCTCGAGGGGCCGTCGGGGAATAAGTCTCACCACTCCCGGGTTAACAGGCGTCAAGAAAAGCGAAGAAGAGACCCTGTGTATAACGTGTGTAGCAATGCGAACATTTAAAGAGGACCATTCATCTTGTAAACGTCTCAAAGAGCCTGAAAGAAAGTACCGCATGTCACAGCGCTAAACGTGCGTGGACAAAAGTAAAGGGGTTGTATGCGAATTGACACAGCCGAAGTACACTAGTGTTCAAAAGAGGCAGTGTACCACGCGTGAAATACATTCGTGGACATGCGAGGGTTGACGAAATCGCAAACACCCGCTAAAGCCATCAAAATCAAAACAATCTCAATCTTCTCAGGAGCTATATGACCTGCAAAACATAAATCAGTTTTCATTTATGACTCACAGTACATGCAATCAGTTGTTTTTCATGAATGCTCAAATAGTTGTCAAAATGTGCGCGGCCCGGTCTCTGCTTCTTTCCAGTGCCAAGTCCAAAAGGGCTTATATTTTGGCCACCATGCTTATAACCAGGCGTGTGATTATTTTCAGCCGATCGATTTCACTTAAGGCCAAGGTCTTCGCGATTTAGTTTGAAGTCCTTGGAACTCAGAAATATCGTATTCAATTATTCCAGAAAGCTCTTTGTCAGGATTGTACAATAAAGGGGCGGAACTAGGGGGAGGCTGTAGGGGTGCGCACCCCCCTCCCCCCGGAGATGACATATTCGCTTTTAAAATCTGTTTACCTTACCAGTCAGTTACGACATTCTTTAGAGGTGCAGCCCCTCGAAAAAAAATCCTGGATCTGCGCCTACAATAAGTCTNTCGTTCTCTTCTTTTTTTTTTTTTTCGTCAGGGCGGTTTTCAATAAAACGTTCACGTGTGCTGCATATGAGCTTTCTCCATTTAGGCCAGTTGTCTACAACTTTTTCCCAGTGGCTTCATTCAGTGAGAGAACAATCTACCATAAAAAATACATGGTTGTACTATTCCTGGAGGTAACAACCTACAGCAAAACCAAAGAGTGCACTACTCAGTAACATATCTATGAAATACCGTCAAAACTATAGTTATTAGTTTACTATTCAGTGAGGTAACACTTTTAGCAAGCATTCCTGTCCGAATTCTGGTCCTGCGAAAATCTTCCGTAGGAAATATGATGGCGAATGGTACATTTACCCAATAATTCTCAATGTTCATAAAAATTTACAGGAACGTTCTAACATCTTCAAACCTAGCGTACACTATGTCGTTAGCACAGGGACAAATATTGCAAACCTTTGGCTTTCCTTGCGAAAAGGTTCGCATGGTATTGTGGTAAACCGCCTTTTTTCATACCAGGCATTCATCAAAGTGAGGCCCGCTTTGGATATTTCTGCTTTGTTCGCTGTTACCGTAAATCCTCGAATTAGCTCCTCCCCTCAAATAAGTGCCCCCTTCGAACAGGCGCCCCTTAACCAGCCTCGTACAGCAGGCCTAGACCAGCTAAAGGGATTATATTAAGTAGTTCGTCAAGAGAGCCAGAATTTACACACTTGAAGCTTTCAAACGCTATATATACTGCGCGTGAAACACATGCGTAGACAGGCGAGGGTAGACGAAAATACGAAAAACCCCAAAAGCTTCCAAAGACCCTCGAGGGGCCGTCGGGGAATAAGTCTCACCACTCCCGGGTTAACAGGCGTCAAGAAAAGCGAAGAAGAGACCCTGTGTATAACGTGTGTAGCAATGCGAACATTTAAAGAGGACCATTCATCTTGTAAACGTCTCAAAGAGCCTGAAAGAAAGTACCGCATGTCACAGCGCTAAACGTGCGTGGACAAAAGTAAAGGGGTTGTATGCGAATTGACACAGCCGAAGTACACTAGTGTTCAAAAGAGGCAGTGTACCACGCGTGAAATACATTCGTGGACATGCGAGGGTTGACGAAATCGCAAACACCCGCTAAAGCCATCAAAATCAAAACAATCTCAATCTTCTCAGGAGCTATATGACCTGCAAAACATAAATCAGTTTTCATTTATGACTCACAGTACATGCAATCAGTTGTTTTTCATGAATGCTCAAATAGTTGTCAAAATGTGCGCGGCCCGGTCTCTGCTTCTTTCCAGTGCCAAGTCCAAAAGGGCTTATATTTTGGCCACCATGCTTATAACCAGGCGTGTGATTATTTTCAGCCGATCGATTTCACTTAAGGCCAAGGTCTTCGCGATTTAGTTTGAAGTCCTTGGAACTCAGAAATATCGTATTCAATTATTCCAGAAAGCTCTTTGTCAGGATTGTACAATAAAGGGGCGGAACTAGGGGGAGGCTGTAGGGGTGCGCACCCCCCTCCCCCCGGAGATGACATATTCGCTTTTAAAATCTGTTTACCTTACCAGTCAGTTACGACATTCTTTAGAGGTGCAGCCCCTCGAAAAAAAATCCTGGATCTGCGCCTACAATAAGTCTTAAACATTTAGCAACTGCACATTTTGAAACTCCAGATATCTTATTTAAACTGCCTTTTTTGTATCTGCATACTTACCAATTTGAGAGACGCCACGTCAAGTAAATAAAGAATGTTGAATAAATCTTTTCTGCTGTTATGTCTGCCATCTTGGATGTATTTCCCACAATTCCATCGAGCCGCGCAAAGCGTTAGCCTCGCGGAGAGCGCGTGAGTGCGCGGAACGATAGATAACCACACGTTTATCTCGCGCTTCGATCGGTACAAATAATAAAAGGGCAAGTCCGTTTATATCCAGAGTGATTTGAAACCTCAATCTTATAATTTTAACAAGCTTAGCCCTCCAGGATTGGCATGTTCCGATGCACAAATATGAACTTGCGTGAACTCGGGGAGTGCTTTGAAAGTGATATCTGATGAAATGCCCCCTTTTCCCTGAAAGGGCAATTTTGATCACGTCGATGCCAAAGGAACACATTTTACGGATACTTTACTATGAGGAATATATACTGAGTCGGAAAATTTAATTTATCTAACATGTCCTTTTGTATTTAAGTGGCCTCTGTCGGTAATGCATCCCTTAACCCAGTGGAATAAAAACACTGATCTCTGGCTTGATTGCTTTCCATGCTGAAGGAACAGATCTGAGCATGTAGATTATGAGGAAGCGTTGGGTGTAGTGTTACATCTGTAGGACTATAAATACTGAGATAACTTCAGTTCTTCTCTCAGTAGTAGTGGAAGAAATATGGCGGCGGGTCAGGCCACCCCAAAATCATCCACTATCGTGCCAATTCTGCATCTTGTTTTCACAATCCTGTCTATCGTGGTTCTCTCGTACAAAGTTTATCACCTTGAGAGTGAATTGTCGTATATTCGAAATGAATTATCTACTCACGACAGAAGTGATGGCTTGACTAAAACGCCTCCACTTTCTACAAGTGCGTCCATTAGCTGGCATTCCCGCAGTGAAAGCAGAAGTCATCGAAACCGTCGACGTGACCACCGAGACGGTTCCGAGGTAAGCGCGGCGTCTCTTCCTAACCAGAAGCAGCCTGAAACAACTTCAACAAGCAAAATATAAAAGCGGATTGTCTTTCGAAGGCGCTAAAAGATTTGCAAGTATACACAAATCATTCTCGGCTGTTCACGGTGCAAAGCTGATGCCTATTCTGTCTGTCGTGCAAATGCCGCTCATCAAAATGCGGTCATTATATTATCAAATTTGTTTAAACCCTCTTTACTGTGTGCTTAAATCATTTGAGCTGACTTATGTTCTTTCTTTGTTGCTGAAGGATAGGCATAGGGACACTGGCATGAGAGGTGAGTATAGATTTATTTTATCCCTAACAAGGTCAAATGACTGTCATAGTTTCACATGAATCTGGTCCTGTTTCAAGAATGTCGAAAATTACTGAAATTGTGCCAAATGCTGAGCACAGTGGACTCTCCTAGATTTGAAGATTTAGCCAAGAATCTTAGATAGACCTTTTGCTCAGTATCTCACGAGGGGATAACGGTCACTCACTCAATGCTTTCTTTCAACAAGAGGTGCATATTCAATGGGGGAGGAGGAGGGAGGGTGAGGTGTAGGGGGTGCTGTGTGTTGGACGTCCAGATTCATGTGACAGACATAAGTCTTCACTTACATGTAGCTGACACAGAGCGCGGGAAAACGCGTGCGAACGAGCTAGGATTGGGTTTGGTTTCACTTCTGATTGGATGAAAAAATGGCGTGAGCAACGGGTAGCGTTGTAATTGCAAAACCAATAACTTTCGAACTGCTCTTATGTACCTCGGTTATTTTAGGTCCGCCCGGCCCACCTGGTGTACAAGGGCCCCCTGGAAATCGTGGTGAACCCGGGCCACCTGGGAAAATGGGTCCTCGAGGGCCTCCAGGAAAGAGTGCCAGCGTCAACGTGACAACTATCGAGAAGATCGCAAATCGGTTAGAGGCCCACACTCAAAGAGAAATGGCCAAATTTGGTGAGTACCCGTCTAAACTCAGACCCGTACTACTCTACAAAGAGAATTAGAAGTTTCGCTGTTTTTTGCTGCATGAGAAAAAAATCACTACTGAAAACTAAAATAAGAATAAACATCTTCACAGCTATTGTGGCTGTTCATGATCAATTTATTCCTCGTTTATTTCCTAAATGTAGTTTTGTTCCTGTGGTCTGTTAGGATGCTAAAGGAGTAAGTCAGTAACAATCTCTGGTAACAATTAATTGTTTTGAATGTGTGTTTTCCTTTCTTCTGTTTTTTTTTTTTTTATTGGCTGAAATATCCAGGATCTTCATTCTTATATGTACTTTTCTTCTTATATTGTTTTTTAAAAATTTAAAGATAAAATAGGATTTACTAATCGCTGTTAAAGAAAGGCCCGTTGGAGCATCTCGTTTAAAAAAGACTACAAGTTTTAAAATTGCTCGTTCGTAACCCGCCTCACCGATTATTATCCATGTCGGTTTTAGTGTCTTTTTCTTATTTTGTACCTTCAATTGATAAACTATAATACTTTGCGGATACAATATCAATGCTGCGTAGCACAATATTGCAGTTGCCTCTGTGACGTTAATATCTCTACGTTGCCACGAATCACCCTCGAACAGTGCCCTCGTCTGGCTTCGTAGCACATTCGGTACGTTTCCGTAGACAGTAGACCAACGGTGATACCGGATAAGAAGGAAATACTTCAATCCCGGCCAAAAGTAGTTGGGACACTTGAGCTGTATCACGTATCCCCCTTCCCCCCGAATCAATGTTGGAAAATATCGCGTTTTCTCCAACAAAAAAGGGAAAAATCACCTGATTATCAACATTGAAAGTGGGGGGAGGGGAGAACTTGCTTCGTGTCCCAAGTCTTTTGTCTGGGATTGCGGAAGCTGTCGTGTCGCGTGTAATGGTGATATATATGATTACTCTACACCGATAAGCATTTCATTGGGTTTAAGTCAATTTATTTAACACTATTCCGT